CACAACGCTCCCCCTGCCACTCCCCCAACACCCCCCTCAAAGGCCGTCGACTACCGGCTCTCCTCCATCGTCACGCCCCACGCCTTCCTCACCCGCGCCTTCCGCGGCCTACCCGCCCGCGAGGCCGCCCGCGCCGCGCGCGCGCCGGCCGCGGCCGCGGCCGCGGACGCGCTGTTCTACCTGACCTCCTACCTGTCAGAGGCGGCCCTCCTCGAGTACTCGATGCTGCCCTTCGCGCCCAGCGCCGTCGCGGCCTCGGCACTCGCGCTCGCGCACCTGCTGCTCGGCCTGCCCGTCACGTCTGAGGAGCTCCGCGCGCGCAGCGGCTACGGCTGGGAGGACATTACGCTGCCATTCGCCTGGCTGAGGCAGGTCCACGTTGAGGTCTGCCGCGCCGGCGCCAACCGGACGCCCTACGCCGCGTGGACCAAGTTCCTGACCGCCGAGACGCGCTGGGCGGCGGCCGTGCCGCCGCTGCTGTCGTTCGCCGACCCCCGGCTGCCGGAGGTCACCGCGGGCCGCGCCGCCGCGCCCGCGGGCGCGGCGGGCGCGCCGCCGCTTCAGCGGCGGCCGTCGCTGAAGCGGCAGCGCGCGGGCGCGACGGCGGCGGCGGCGAAGGGCGCAGCGGCCGGGCGGCGCCAGGAGGAGGACGGCGGCGCGGCCGCGGGCGCGCTCGGCGCCTGCGCGCTCTTCTGCCCCACGCCTTGAAGCCCGCCGGCGCGTTGGCGCGCAGAACAGGCTGCGCGCCCGCGCCGACGCCACGCGGCGCGCTGGCGCGCCGCGAGGCGGGGGCCGCGCAGCCGCGCCTCCCGCCCGCATGCCCGCGCCGCCTGCATGCAACGCACACACGCGCACGCACGCGCGCGCCTGCCCGCCCGCCCAGCCGTCGCCGTTTGAGGGCGTGGGGGAACGGAGCGTCGCCGGCGCGCCAAGGCGCTGCCCACGGCGGTCTTTGCGGCTTTGCATGCACACCGCGCGTATTTGTTCAGACGCGAACGCACCCGGGTACGCGCATTAGCGACCCCGGGAGTCTGCGTTGCATCCTGGACACCAGGGCACTAAGCTGCCGGTGGGCCTCGCGGCGCCGCTCACAGGCGGCCCCGCAGCGCCCGCCCGACAGGCGGCCACGGCGCCGCAGCGCGTGGCGGCCCCAGCGGCGCCGGCCGTCCCTGCATGGCACCCCCGAGCGACCGCTTGATCGGAGAACCGACCCCAAACGCACGCACGCACGCACGCACCTGAAACCCTTGGATTGAATCGGGCCCGGCCGCTCGGGAAGCGAGCCCCCCGTCTGAGTCTTTCACACGCACTGCTCTGCGACGCCCCGCCGCGCACGCATCGCCGCCGCGCTGCCGCCGTCGAGCGCGCGCGCTTTGCTGTTGCGCGGGGCGCTCGCTGCTGGTGCGCCCTCGCACGGCGTCGCACCGGCCATACTCACTGATTCGCCCCCAGCACTGCAGCTCGTTCGCAAAGGAAAGGAAGGAAGGCTTTCGGCTTGGCGCCACGGCCGCGCGGCGTTTTTCGCCGCCCGGCGGATTCGCCAGCCGCCCACGCCCCCTGGGCGCCCGCCGCAGCAGGCAGGCGCCGCGACGAGGCCGCGCCCCGCGCGGCGGGCGGGGGCCCCGGGGCGCGTGCGAAGCGTGTATGTATGTTTTGCCTGTACATACGACGAGACGACTAGCATGCCATAATACGTATATTGCCGCGTGGGCACGGGGGTGTGCGCGGCCCAGGTCGCATACTGCTTCGTTCTGCTCCTGCTGCCGCTCGCTGCATTTGGCGCGAGGAGGGCGCGTCCGATTGTTTCCCCAAACCAGCCGCCGGGGGCCGCTGACCCGCGCCCCCGAGCACTCTTCGCCGCGCAACCCTGAACTGTTTCGTTCCCGAGCCGCGCGCGGCGGCGACGGCAGCGAGGGCGGCCGCTCGCCGAAGCCCCGCCTGCCGCCGCCGCGCGCTCTTCCGCCTTCGAGCTCAACCCATCCCCCTCCCCCCGGGGGTGCGGCCCGCGCGGCCCCGCCGCGCCGGGCGCCGCGCCTGCCGCGTTCGCGGTGGGAGACCCGTTCTCGTGGCGGCACTTTTGTTCTTTCCCATGGGAGCAGCACTCGGCTGTGCTGTGCTGTTCGTGCATTCTCTCTAGCATGGTTCCGCCCCGTGGGTGGGCGGCGCGGCGGCCGGCTGGCCGGCCGTCGCGCGCCTGGGGCGATACGTACTGCTCAACCGACGCCGCTCTCACGATTGGACCCGCGGGGCCGGTGCTGCCCTGCACCGGCCCTCGGGGCCGCAACCACACACACTGCCGTTGCCCCGCCGTCGGGCGTCCGGCGGCGCCCCAGGAGCGCGCGCGCGCGAGGGCGGCCCTGCCCGCCCCTGGAGGGGCCCGGCGGTTTCCTGCCTGCCCGGCCCCGTCTGCCAGCCTCTTGAATGGGGCGCCGCCGGCGCCTGCGCCGTCCGACGCACCGCACTTGTAGCTCCCCGCCTGCGGGCGCGCGCGTCGACGAGCCCGCGCGCATGCTGGCTTGGCGGCGCAGAGGCCCCCGCGGCCGCCGGCGGATTTTCGGCCGCCGCCTCCTTCGACGGGGCCGGCGTGCCCGCCCGCCCGCGCCGAATCGTCCTCGGCAATCATAACTCTTCGGCCCTGAGGCGCCGCCAGGGTGCTGCCGCACCGTGTACTAGCAATACTGGCGCACGTGTGGGTGCACGCGCGCCCCCTGCCCCGCGGCCCCCAGGGCGCCCCAGGGCCTGGCGCCAGTGGCGCGCGCCCGGTGTTGGCGGCCTAGCGACCACCACGCCGCGCGGCGCCCGAAATAGCGGCTGGCGTTTTTTTACCACGCACTTGATACACAAACTGTGGCCCCGGCCCCGGATCTCTTTCTCAGAGCTTGCTCTCCGGTATCCGTTGCGCTCCACCCGCGGGACGGCCTCCGAGCCCCTGCCAAACGAACCCCGGCCCGACGCCCGCCGTCAGCCGATGATCTCGCCCAGCCTAAGACAACAGCAGCCCCCGCCCGCCGCAGAAGGGCCGCGGCGGCGGGCTGCTTGGAACTATTTGCGTCACTCAACCGCCGGCCGCTTGCGAGGCAGCCCAGAACGGGTGCCTCGCGGCTCAAAAACTGACGTTCTCCGAATGGCAGGGAAAACGCTCCCTCTCGCCTCTTTAGCACGCGCCCGCCCGGACTTGCCTGCGCCTCCGCGCGGGGTCTCGAATGCAGTTGCGGGGGCGCTCCAGTGCCCCCCAGGGGCTGCGGAGGTTGCGGAAACCAGGGCCGCCCTCGCACCCTCTTAACGAATTGCGGGCCTTGTCCAACATGCGCGCACGCGGGGCGGCCTTCACGGTCGCCCCAGCCAGGGCGCCGCCCGGCGACCCGCGCTGGCGGCCGGCCCTGCTTGCGGCCCGGCGAATCGCCACGCACGCGCGTGTGCAGGCGCGCGCGTGCGCGCGCCGCCGGCGCAAAGGGGGCTGTTGGGCGTGCGGACGGCGGCTCCAGGGGTGCCTTCTGGTGCGCCCCAAGCGTGACCCCCTGCCCCCCTAGCCTCGAAGCTCGGCGACCGAATCAGCCGCTGCGCACCGGCCTTACCCGCTGCTGATTCCTCGCCCGTCACCCACCCACAAATCTCTCCACCGTTGCTATGGAAGGGCCGCTCGCCGCCTGGACGCGCGCACTGCCTCCATGCCCATCCTCCCGCCTGCGCCGCCGGTTGGGGCCGAGCGGGCCGGAGCGGCGCCGCGGTTTTGATCCGGCCACACCAGAGACCAGCCCCCACCACGCGCACGGCGCGCACAGATTATAAAAAAAGAATCCCTGCCCTCTGCTCTCACTGGTTCCGTTGACGCAGCTCCCCTCACCCCTCCCGTCCCCAGCCTCTCAGCGCTGCTTGACACGGCAACCCACACTGTTGGCCTCCCTTGCGCATCCCCACCCCCCACCCGGCCGCGCGCCCCGCCGCGCGCCTCGCAACTGCGCCGTTGATCGCATCGTTGATTACACTGCCTTGGACCGGTCGAACGGTCGGCAATCAAACCTCGGACTGGTCCGACGGCGCACGGGCGGGGCTTCCTGCGCCCTGCTGCTGTCCGCCCCCACACCCTGATAGGCCAAGGAACCCTGGCCGCCGTGCGCCCCGTCTCGCGCGGCCGACCACCGGCGAACGGCGGCGAGTGCAGGCGCACGCGCGCCTCCCCGCCGCCCCTCGCTGCTAAATTGTCTTGCGGTCTGACGAGCGCCGTGCCCTGACCCCCTCATTCCATGCCCGCAGTCCGAGCGTGCGGGCCCCGTTGTGCCGTTGGTCGCCCTTTCTGTGCAAGTACAAGAAAAACTCTTTGTGCAGAGCGTTGCGCCGACGCGATTGTTGCATCAACAAGCGAGGGATATCGAAACGAGGGGTTTTCACACCAAAGCAACAGACCGATCCTTCAAAGGCAAAGGGGCGCGCGCGGCCGACGGGCGCAGGGCGGGCGGCTCCCCCGCCGCCCGGCCCGGCCCGGCCCGGCCGCGCGCGCCGTCACCCAGCGACTAAATCATTTGAGGGGAAGGGTGCGCGGCGCGGCGCGGCCGGCGGCGCACTGGGCGGGGCCCGGCCGCTCCCGGCCGCGCGCGTGCGTGCCCTGTGAGTTGGTTGATCCCCCGGCGCGTCCCCAAACAAACTCCCTACCACCTCCTTCCGGCGGCGGCCTCGCCCGGCCTGCCCCGCATGCACTGATTGCCGACAGAACAGAGATGCTGTAACAACACCTGACCCAGCCTGAGGGCCTGATGTGTGCTTTTGCAGCAGCAGCGCTAGCAGCAGCAGCATTTTTAGCAATTCAGCCGGCAGCAAACTGTGGCGAGCCCATGCCGGTTGATAATGAGCAGGGCAGGCGAAGGCCCAACAGGGAGGGCCGCGCTGACGAGGCGCCAGCCAACGCCGGGGCCGCAGCATAGGGCGTAACAGCGCGGCCGGCACCCCGGGGCCCCTGCAGCCGCGTCAGCTGCCGGGGTCCCCGCCGCCGCCGCCGCTGCCCTCAGCGCCAGCCCCGCCGCCCGCTGCCCTTCCTGCCTCTGGCGCGCCCGCTGCGCCCGCCGCGCCCGCGCCCTTGCCCAGCCGCCCGTGGCGTTTGTTCAGCAGCTCCATGGCCGCCTGCCTGCGCTGCTTCTTGAGCCCCTCGATCTGCGGCGGGGGGAGCGGCACGCCGCGCACACCAGCCCAGCGTGAGGGTGGGCGCAGCAGACCAAGGAGGGCAGCACCGTACACGCACAAAGCACATAAAATAGGCAGCGCCGAGGCACGCACGCGCACGATTAGCGGCCCTGCCACGCGAGGTGCTTCCTTCCTCAGAGGTGCACCCCATTTCAAAGGGGCCCGTGCAGGCCGGTGGCCGCGGCAAGAAGTGACACCCAGCAGCAGCTCACGTGGGAGTCGACGGCTGCAACAGGATCCAGCTGCCGCGGCAAGTGCACCAGCCGCAGCAAGCGCCCCTGCGACGCGGCCCGCGGCGGGAGCGGGGTGTGGTGCGCACGCTGGTGAGCGAGGGGAGGGCGGTGCCGGCGGCGCCGGCGGGGTACACATTATGCGCGGGCCGCACGCGCGCCCCGATATGGCGGCGAAGGGAAGGGGGAGAGGGCGGGGGGGGGGGGGGTTGCGGACCTTGATAAAAAGGACCGGGTAGGCACAGGACGCGCCCTGGGACCAAGACAGGTGGTGGCGGGGCGTAAGCAGCGGCGCGGCGCGAAGTGGGATTGGTTTGTTGTTGGGGACGCAGGAAGGTGGCGAGCGCCGTGGGCGCTCCCACGCGGCAACCGGCCCGGCTCGAGGCAGAGCGCCCTGCGCCCGGCGGCGATGGCGCCGCCGCTGCCGCCTGGGCGGGCTGGCCCGGCGGGCCCTCTCCGACGGGCGGCTGGGGCGGCCAGCGTGAGGCAGGGCCGAGGCGGCTTCGCGGCATGCACGCCCGCAAGCGTGCCGCCAGCGTGCGCGCTGTCGCCTGGGCAGGCGCCCTAGTCGGTGGCCACCCACCTGAACAGGTTGCCAAGTAGCATTCTCTACGAATATGCTGCGATTGGGGCAAGGGAGCGGCGGCACGGCAGCGTTCAGGCCAGGCGCGCAACGCAGCAGCAGCGCAGCACACACGCTCCCCTTGCTGGGTCACACCCAGTCATCGCGGCACTGGTGGCTGCTCACTTCATGTTGTCATCTACCGACGTCAACTTGCCCGTTATGATGGTGTCATTCCGCAGCTCGAATATGAGCTTGCGGCCTTGGACGGCATGCAGCAGGGCGATCAGGGAAGTGCACGCCTTTGGCGCAAAGCGCCGCCGCCGGTCCTGAGTGTCTGACATGCCGGCAGCGTGCTGGAACAAAAGCCTCTAATGCACAAAATTCTACTTCATACACGCGTTGTCTGTGACGGTTGCTATCATACAAGATGTACTGTAGCGGAGATCGCGCTCAAGATCTGACAGGCATGTGACCTCCAAGTATCCAGAAAAGGTTCAACCCGAGAAATTTAGCGTTGTTATATACGACAACTTACCATGCAAGGTTCTCCCAATCACATGCATATCATACCGGAAGCCTCGAAACGAAACCGTGTTTGCACCAAAGGAATAGTTGTTACCATATAGGGATTTTTGTTGACTTCGCGCGCGCCCGCCCCCCGGCGCCGCCCGGCCCCCCGGCCGCAGCCGGTCTGTGACCGTTTTGTTTTGGGGAGACGCGAGCGTTGTGTGTGGCGGCGCCGGAGGGGCGAGGCCGCAGGTCGGGCGCGCCCGCCGGATGCCCACCCGCACAAGGGTCTCTCTTCGTGTGTCGAACAGTTGACAGTATTGTGGTTCCTTACATCAAGAACCGCATGTAGAGTCGCACAGCACACGCAATTCGGCGTTCGCGGCGTTCCGCTGTGCTGCTCGCAGTGCCGAGCTGGGCACAAGCAAACCTCGCCGAAGTCGCCGTTGCCCACCCCGCGCACAGCTCGCAGTTTCGCATTCTGCACTACCCTGAACGCGGTTGCTGTGATATTCCTTGGAATGAGCTGATGGCGTTTTTTGCAGTTACCAAGCAAGGCTTATCAACCCCAACTCTACTGACACGGCAACCGCACGCCAAGGCAGTAACAGCAGCACCCAACCAGGCACAGCAGAGGCACCAACATCAATGCAGCACACAGCCCAAATAAAGCGCAGTTCCTGTAGCTGCAGCCGGCTGCCTGGGCACAAGCAGTATTCCCTCAAGGATTTTTGCGCAAGCTCCCGTCAAGCCGCTCTTGGCGCTGGTTCACCATTTTCCGTGATTGTGACAGCAGCTTTAGCATACGTGACGACAGAAACAGTTGATGCAGCTGGAAGCAAAGCCTGAAATTGAGTTTCCTGGTGGATGCAGCAGCAACCATCGCCATCGCCGCACCCGTGCCCGGATTTGGTGCCCCGCGTGCGAGCGTGTTCGCGGCCATACGAGGTGTGGCATGCGCGTTAACTCTGTCGCCCATGTGTGGGTGTGCATAGATGCCATTCAGGCCCCCTTTAGTGCAAATAGGGTCGCAGCTGTCTGTGAAACAAGGATGGGCTTGGGCGACTACTCACACGCTTGAAGCTGTGCGGGCAGTACGACAGGGGGCGGTGAGAATGGGCGTCGCCGGCTGGAGGGTTTAACAGCATGTTGGCGGTCGGGGGTTTTGAATCATATCCTGCCGCTCGCCCATCGGTGGCACAACACACGCTTTATACAAGCCGCCAAATGTGACGTGTGCATATCAAGAGCACAAACCAGCAACCAAGGGGCGTAGCAGGTGTGTCATGGGATGGCAACGTGAGGGGCCGCCGACGGCTGTGGGAGCAGCCCGTAGGAGGGGTGCATGCAGCGTGTCGCGTACCAGGATGAGTGATGCCAGGCGGGCGTGCATGAGGTTACTGCAAACGCACGTGCCGCATGTGTTGCGCGCGTCCAGCGGTGGAGAGCGCGCGGATGCAGCAAGCGCGCGCGCGTCGCGCGCAAGGGGAAGGTTCGCATATCGCATGCGCCACGCGAGAGCGCTCAAAAAGCTCCAATGGTAATCAAGACTAAGAGCTGCGCTACCTAGCCCGCATCCCAACAAATCAGATTCAACAATTAAGTCCCAAGCGTCCCGAGTGGCATGGGCAGGGTCCAAGGCACGGTCGCGCGCCTGCGCTGCGCTGTTCAATCTTCATCACCTGAGAGCTGCCGTGTTTCAGGCATGCAGGTGCTGCTGAGCACACGATTTTTTGCACCCCAGCATGTGCCTTGCATGCCGGCAGCCTAGCTGCCGCATTGCATCACCAGGCGTGCGCACTCGCGGAAAGCGGTGTCGGCAACAGCGGAGCGCAATCAAGGAGGTGCAGCTCTATTCAACAACCAACACAGGTCAAGACCTGCGACGCGTGGCGGCACAAAAGCAGGGCGCGCCGTCACTCGGACACGAATGTTGCCGGGGGTCGCAGCAACGGCAGCCATGGCCGCAAATCATGCACGTGGCGCACTGCAGCAGCTGCAAGCCCAGGCTGCTCAGTGGGCGCTGGGCAGTTGACAAAGGAATACATGAAATGCAGAGGTATTGGTTCGTCCAGGGGCTAAGGATTGGCAACGGCGGCGCCTGCACTTTGGTGGCCGCTATTTAAGATCCAAAGGAAGCCATACCCAGCAGCCGGCCCCTCCACAAATCCCGGCTAGCCAGCCTGCCCGGTGTGCGGCGCGTATCTGCAGCCTACTGCCGAACACGGGCGCCGTCGTCGCCCGGCCCGCCCGCCGGCCAGCCCAGGGCCGGCCCCTCGAAGCGGCGGCCGCGGCGGGGGTCCGCCGCGCTGGTCTCGGTCGCGCCGAGCAGGGGCGAGGGCGGCCACCAGCGCGCCTCCCCCAGGAACGGCTGCAGCTGTGGCAGCTCCAACTTGGACGGCGCGCGGCCGCCGCTGGCCCCTCCCCCGCCCGCACCGCCGCTGCCGCGGCAGCAGCTCCCATCGCCAGAGGACGCGGCGTCAGCAGCCGGCGCCACGGCAGCGGAGGAGCGGTTGCGCATCGGCACAGGTGCAGCGGAGCCATCGGCGCCGCGGTTGCCGGGGGCGCTTGAGGTGCGGCTGGGCCCAGAGGGGGAACGCGTGTCCAGGAATGTGTCGGTGTCGCTGTCGCAATCCGATCCTTCTTGGGAATCCGATAGCCAATGAGGGTGCGCGTCCTGCCACTGATGAAGGCAGGTGTCGTCCCAGGACTGCTGCGGCTGCCGCCGCTGCTGCCGCCTGCGCCGCGGCGACGGCGGGAGCGGCAGCGGCGACCGCCGGCTCGGCGCCTCGTGCATATGCTGACGCTGCAGCCCCTGCCCGTGCTGCCGCTGCTGCCGCTCCTGCTGCTGCTGGCGCCGCAGCTCCTGGTCTTCCTGCTGCAGGTGCTGCCGCAGCCACGCCTCCTGCTGCCGCCTGCGGTCCCAATCTAACGGCGACACCCCCCACCCCTCGTCCCCCACACCAACCCCCGCCACACCGGCGACCTCCGCCGCCCCGCCGCCGCCCCCGCTGCTGCGCGCCACCGGCGCGACCGCCGCCAGCGCCCTGTGCGCCGCCGCCACCGCCGCCTCGCGCCTCGCCACATCAGCCTCTTGGGCTCCGACCGCTGCGCGCGCCGCGCGCAGCGCCGCCGCGTCGCGCTCGATGCGCCGCTGCGCCTCGGCCGCCGCCGCCTCATCGTCAACCAGCGCCTGCCAGGCGTCCTCCAGCGCGCCAAGGCGCATCGCAACCTCGGACGCGCGCGCGTCCAAGGATCTGCGCAGGTGCAGCAGCTCGAGGCGCTGCTGGGTGGCGGCTGCCTCCCGCCGGTGCGCGGCTCCCTCCACGCGCAGCCGCTCCGCCGCAAGCGCGGCCCGCGCGGCGCGCAGCGAGCGCCGTGCGGCGCGGAGCGCTGCGGCGCGGGCGCGGAGGCGCGCGGAGGCGCCGGCGAGCGCGGCGGCGCTTGGCGCGGCGGGGACACAGTGGTGGCCGGCGCGGCCGCGGTGGGCGCGCAGCTGATGCGGGGTCTGGCCGGCGTCCGTGTAGTGGGTGTAGCCGACTAGATGAGATGAACCCTGTGCTTGGCCCGCCAGGCATGAGCCGATCGCGCGCCGCCTGCCACGCATCAGGTGCCCCGTCGCGCCGGCCCCGCCGCCGCTGCTGCTGCTGCGCCCGCGCCCGCGCGGCGCGGCGCCCGTCTGCAGCAGGGCGCCGGGCGCGCTGACGCCGCGACGGCGAGGGCGCGGCGGCGCCGCTTCGAATGCGGGCGCGTCGGGCGGGGCGCCGTAATCAGACCAGGCGCCCCCGAAATCTGTTGATTCGTCCTGATTTTGATCAACGCCTGAGGACGCATCATTATCTTCATACCAGCCGCCCTCTCCATCCTCATCATCGCCGTTTCCAGAATAGCCCTCGGCGCCGCCGCAGCGCGTGAGGGAGGAGGCGCTGCATGAGACGTCCTCCGCCCGCCACCAGCGCCGCAGCAGCGGGGGCGCGTTTGCGGCGCGGCGCGCGACGCAGGCGGGCGCCGTCGGGGCGCGCTGCGGCGTGCATGCTGCCTCGACGGCGCATGCGCCTGCGTTGGACAAGACTGTACCCTCGGCTGTGGGAACACCAAGAGGTAGGCGGCAGAAGGGCAGACCCAGCCATGCGCCGACCACCAGTATAAAGCGCGCCAGGATTACCGCCGGCACAAGCGCCTGTGAGGAGGACGGACGGACGCATGCTTTGGCTATGTGCGTTGCCGCCACTGGCCGGCTAGTTGGTTGTGCCGCTGCCCGCTGCCGCCGCCGCAGCTGCTGATGCAGCTCTGACACGCCCCCTGCAATGCAGCTTTGACGCTCATTCAACACTCTGTGACGTTTCCAAAGTCTCTACGGTGGAGAAAAGCCATGCAAGCCCGCTGAACCCTCTGAAAGTAGCTTTGCTGACCAGGACCGAATTTGCACCCCCTGCGCACCAGGTAAAGAGGCCACAGGATCGCAAAATAAGCGTAGAGCAGCGCGCAGCGCGCCATCGTTGAGCTGCGTGGCCGTTTGCAGAAACCGTGCGCAACAACGCAGCTAGTATTTCATGGTTAGTCTCCTGATATCTCATCGTTGGCGCAACATTATACAGCTGAGTAGGGGCCAGTTGCAAGGCGTGTCACCACTGGCGCGCTGCGCCTCTTCATTACCGGGGTGCACTGCCTGGCCCTGGGCATGTGTGCGTCATCAGGGCCTGGGGCGTACCCGCTTCCCCTGCAGCTCCATCCCGTGTTCTGATGCGCTGAGGGACCACCTTGAAATGAGCCTCCATCGTGCATGCACCCGGTCTCCAACCTGATGCACCACCCAAAACCCCTCCCAGGCGCGACCACTGCCAACCTGCCCTACCCCTCTATCGGACTCCCACATCCCACCGCACCCCGCACCACACGCCCCAGGCCGACCTAGGCGCAGTTGTTACCGCCCAGCGAGCGCCAGGTCATACGACTCGAGCACGCGAATCGCCTCCTGCATGAGAAGCTTCCGTTCCAACCGCGCCCGCAGCGCAGTCTCCCGCCGCTGCCGCGACCCCTTCACTGTGCCCAGAGCGCCGCCGCCGCCGCCGCCGCTGTTTGGCGCGCCTCCGCTTGCGAACGCGGCCGCTGGCCGTTGGAAGTCCAAGAGGTGGCCTAGATCCGCCTCGATGCTCGTCGGCAGCGCTGCCAACTCCTCCCGCAGCCGCCCCCTCAGCGCCGCCACCGCCGCGCGCTCTGCTGGCACAGCGGCCGCAGCAAGCGGCGCCGGCGGCGCCCGGCCGGACTCAGACCACGCCTTTGCGGAGGCCCAGCCAAAGAGGCCGCCGCCGCCCCCGTCCTCGCCGGGCGCCTTGCGCAGGGGCAGCGAGAGCAGCGCGGCGCGGCGGCGGGCAACGGTCAAGGACACGGAGCAGATGGATCCGTCGTCTTGGCCGCTGCTGTCGCCGGCCGTGCCGAGCGGCTGGATGTCGCCTGTCGTCAAGTCTCCCTTGAACCCCGCGGCCTGTGGCCCAGGCAGGATAAGTGCGTCGAAAGGAAGTGGGCATTTGGCGGGACAGGGTGTGCGCATGCGCGGGCGCAGAGCCAACGTCGCCTTGAGCAGTCGCGTTGAATGGCAAGGCAGCCTATCCATACCATAGGCGAGTATGAGGTCCAGGACGGCATACTAGAACATTACCAGATGCATCAGAGCAGACGTTGGGAATCAAAGGGAATCAGTCACCATCCCACCTCCAGGAGGCTGTACGCGTTGAGGCCATTCTGCTGCTGCTGCCGCTGCTGCTGCTGCCCCTGATCCGGGCCGCCCTGGCTGTCCGCAAACGAGACCCGGTCGTGGGGATTCCCATGGATCACAAACCCTGCGATCACCATGTGTCGGCCATGGAGGAGGGGGGGGGGGCGGGGGTGCATGAGACGCCACCATTAGCAGGACATGCACTGCAGGAGCAGGAGGGGGGGCTAGAATTCCTGGCGAGGGGCGTTCACCAAGGAGTAGGATAAGGACACTGTTGCGCGGTCGCCCACTCCTGGAGCCATCAAGGGCCATAGGATTGGATGTGAAAGCATCAGCCTCGCATGACCCAGGGTCCGAACGCACAGTCAGGCAGCGTCACTGCACAGCGAGTGTGTTGGACGCCCACACGCGCGGCGGCGCTTTTCTTGTGGCGAGATCAAACGTGACAGCGCAAGTCAGGCGGGCCCTCAAGCACAAGACCCCACACGCGCACCATAATCTCTGAGCAGCATGGAGTTGGGCTTGTCCTCCCCATACGTGATGAGAGCCTCCTGGCCGGCGGCGATGGCCTCGACGGCCCGCAGCTCAAAGCTGCGCCAAGCGAGGGCAAGGCGCATCGCAGGGGCAGGGAGCAGAGCGCGTCGGCCTGGGTGCTACGGCGGGTTGGAACGTCTGTCTACCGCCAAGCAAGGCAGGAGAAGGCAGTCGGGGAGCGGACGGAAAATGACTTTTCACACAGACAGAGGAGAGCCAGGCGGCAAGCTGCCGTGGCGCAGCGCAGGCCCCGGCCCCGCACGCGCCTGCGGCGGTCCCTGCTGACGCAAAAGGTGGTGTTGTGCTCGTTGCCGCCGTGGTTGGCCAGCTGCGAGGGGTGCGAGCGCCGCGGGGAAGAATCAGGGGCCCAGCGCGTCCGCGACCCACGCCGCCAGCCCCGCGGCACGGAACAAAGCACGGCCCAGCGCGGTGCGGCCCCGCTCGACGCTGCGCCACTCACTGCTGGCGGCATCAGGTCATCGGTCGGGCCGCCCCGCTCGCGGTGACGTGTGTCCTTGCTACGCCGTCTTGCGCTGAGATGCATACCACCGCCCCCCCCCCCTCCATGTCGCGGCCCCCCGATCAGGATGCAGCACAGCAGCTTGTGACAAGCCGGCCGGCACCTACATCACAGTAAGGCACCATCAGCGTCAGCGCCTCCCCGTTGACGTCATCGGAGAAGGTGCGCGACCTGGCAGTTGAGGGGACAAACACGTGCTGGATCAGCAGAGTGAGGACGCGCGGTCCCATGGCGCGTGTCCACGCGTGCAGATTAGCCACCCTCGGATAGGAAGAGGACCGGCCGCTCAGGCTGCCTTTGAGAGAGAACCACAGGCAGGGCGCGAAAACTGTGGGGAGGAGCGGGCAGCACAGGCTGGCCGCGGCGCAGCGGCGCGAGCAGGGCGTGCATGCGCTGTGCGGTCGCGGCGGGCTGCGGCCCGGCGTCGTCGGCCGGCCTGTGCTGCCGGGTCTGCCTGCGCGTCATGCTACCCAGGCGGACCACCTGCGGCCGGGTGCATCCAGGGGCGCACCTGACCATGCTGAGGGCCCAAAGGGAGGTTTTCAGGTCACGGCTGAGGTCCAAGGACGCCAGCTGTCCCACCGCCTTGCGCCGCCCGCTGGCGCTGCTGCTGCCAGCGGGAGCCGTGCCGGCCCCGCCGCCGCCGGCTGACGCGAACAGCTGCCGGTGCAGGTGCGACGCCCTGCAGGGTTGGGCGCGACACATGATTGTTGGCAGAAGCTGCGCAGATGGGTTTCGGACCGCTGGCATCTGCCGGCGTCGGTCGGGGACACCTCGGTGCATGCATCCGCTGCGCATGATGCTGCTTGGCTCCCACTCGCCCGCGGCCCTGACGCTGCACAGCCGATGGGCGCAAGAGAGCCCACCAGTTGGCCTGGATCTCCGCCTCCCGCTTGAGATCTGCAAACTGGAGCTCGTCCATCTCATCTGGCCCCTGGAAGTTGAGCAGGCACGCCATGTCCTCCTCCCGCGGCAGCAGGGCGAGGTAGCGGCGCCAGAGGTAGCCCTTGTGGCGCCGCAGCCACAGCAGCCACGCGGCCATGCGCGCGTCCCAGCGCTCCTCGCCTGCAGACCAGCAACAGTGGGAACGTGGGGAGGCGGTCAAGGGGGACCTGGGCAATGCGAGCACGGGCAGGACTCAACAATGACAGGTCTGGTGGGGCCAGGGGCGCCGCGATGATGGTGGGGCCCTGTCGCGTGCAGCTGCTGATCAGGCTGTGGGCTTGGACAGGATGCACAGTAAACCAGCTCTGCGCAGGTTGGAGTTCTCCTGCCGTCACTTGCAGGCGGCCCGCCCTTTATACGTCCCAAAAGCAGGTCCAGAGACCCTGCCGGACCTTGTATGAAGTCAGCCAGCTCGGGCGGCATCTCCCCGTGCCGCTCCTGCCACTCGCGCTGCTGCCGGTCACTGAACACGCTGATGCCGCCCAAAGGGTCGTCACAAAGCACCAACGCGTTGTATATGGGCACAGAGGCAATCGGGCCGCGCGCCACGTCCGCCGCGGCGACGAGGCCGCGGCCCAGGGGCGTGGTGCGCACATTTACGACGCGCGGCGTCTGCAGGAGCTCGGCATGTGTTGCTAGCTCGTCGTATACATCTGTCTGTACGCTAGAGGGCACGGTCGCGCGCGTCTGTAGAGAATTTCTGCAAACTCTGAGGTTGTGAACATTATTCACAGATCGCGCGTTGAATAGCAACCCGTTGGCCCGCATTTTGTTGAGAGACAATATCTTACTGCGCCAGGCTGGCTGCTGATTTGGCAACGTCCAGATCATGCCAATGCGGTGTCACCTGTTGACCCACCCACCCGACGCACACTGCCACCACTGCGCGCTGGCTGCAACCCTGTTCAGTGCAGCACAGCTGGGCACACTTCCATTCAGCTTCCCCAGATTGCAAGGGCGTGCCAATGATATGTTGCGCTGCATGGTGCAATGCTTGGGGTGACTCATGTCAGAGAAGACCTGTGAGCAGGATAAAATCAATCGCTGCATCAAGCCCAGAATCGCGTAATTGCTTTACAAAACAGCTTGAGTGACAGCAAGTGATGCAGATGCAACCTTCAGGCTGGAGGATTGTGCATGCAAGACCCCAAACCGTTGGCACGACCGTTCGAGGCACTCCTCTCAAGTAAGCGCTCATCCACAACGGCTCACACAGAGGGTGGCATCCACGGCCGCTAGGCGAAGCCGCCAGAAATCGCTGCTGCCGCTGCAGCTGCTGCTGCTGCTGCTGCTGCTGCTGCTGCTGTGGGTTGCTACTGCTGCTGCTGCTATTGCTGCTGCTCTTGCTGCTGCTGCTGCTGCTGCCCCCCCTCCTGCCGCCGCTCCCGCTCCACCAGCTCCTCCAGGGCGTTGAGAAAATCAGTCACGCTGAAGCCCTGCAGGCACCAAGGGCAGATAAAAACGATTTTTTGTGCGGCGAAACCGCTTGTGTCGCCCCCGTGCGCAGCCGTCCAGCAGAAGGGGTTGGTGTTGAGCTTTGCACGGACGCGGCCCCCTCCCAGACCACCCAAAGGAAAGCTTGAATTGAAGTGAAACTGTGCAGATGCAGCAACCAGGGGAGCCTCCCAGGCCCCTGAACCCGTCGCCACACCGCCGTTGTGACCACCTCCCCGTCCCCCTCCCCGTCCACCCACGACCACCGCGCCCGGCTCGCGCGCCCACCTCGGCCCTGAGCCCGAACTGCGACAGGTCCAGCTGCCCGGTCTGCAGCGCCCCGCTGAACGCCGCGAGCTGCTGCTGGAACTGCGCGCTGCGCGCCAGCTGGCGCAGCTCCCCCAGGGAGCGGTGCTCCTCGGGCAGGTGCTGGCCCAGACGTTCCAAGACCTGGCCGGGCCGCGGGGTCGTGTGGGTGGGCGGATGATGAGCGGCAGGGGGGCCGGGCGGCCAGGCTGTGTCACCGGCTCCGCACACACTCGATCGGAAGGCTCCAGGGTGTTGAAAGGAGGGGGCGGCGGCGTTGCACGTTTGATGCGACGTGGCGCCGGGTGGCGTCAGCGGGGCCGGGCACGCGGCAGGGTTGAGCGCATGCGGCTGCCAGCGCGAGGGCAAGAGCGTTGAGTGCGCGAGACAGCGCGCCACCAGCCCCCCGCCGCAGTCACCTCGGGGTCTGCCAGCAGCGGCGCCACCACCTCGGGCCGCAGCACGTCCGCCAGGCTAGGCCCCGCCGCCGCGCCGTGCCCGCGCGCCGCATGCTGCTGCCGCGCGAGCGCCGCCAGCAGCGCGGCGCCGAGCGCGGAGCCGGCGTCCTGGTGCGAGCCGCCGGCCCCAGCCCCTGCGCCAGGACCCGCGGGCACGCCCCTTGCGATGCCGCTGCGGGGCAGCGTGATATGGTTGGCTTTCAGATTGTCAGCTCCATTGAAATCGAAACTGACGCTGGTGCTAGCACCCATGGCGGCTGCATGCATGGAGGCACGGGCACACCAGTTGCATGCGGCAGGCTTTCAGGGGAGCCGAAGGGCGTTTCCCAGGTGCGCCGCACCTGAGCATCGCGGCGAGCTGTGCAGCAGGGTCCCCCTGTCCCTGCCACGGCTCCTGGCCGGGGCCCTGCGGCACCACGCCCACGGTCTCCCCAGCCGGCATCGTCAAACCGGCCGCGGGGCCGCTGCGCGCGAAGGGCGGTCCGACAGGCCCGGCGGGGTTGCAAGGGGTGGGGCGTGGGTAGGGTTCCGAGACTGCTATGCTCGTCGACGGGTCAGATTTTCAGACCGCTGCCTCTTTTGGGCGCAACAAATGCGCTGGCCGGACTTGTGGCGTGCAGCACACACGCTCTCCAGTGGGTGCCCCCCACCATCCGCGAGCCCCTCTTTTCACTAGCTGGTCCGTCTTCCCTCAGTCACTCAAAAACAAAACCAGACACACCCACTGACATTACATCGCCCTGCTCTCCCAGCCAGGCCTGCGAGCTCACGTGGCCAGCGCGCCCCTCAGCAGTGCGTCCCTCTCGGGCGCGTCCCCCGCCTCCTCATCCATGACGTCATCGCCGTCCTCGTCAGCGCCGCCGCCGTCCTCGCCCAGAGGCGCGTTGATGGCGGCGTTGATGCGAGAGATTAGCGCCGCATCGGCGTCGGCGGACGCCTCTTGGAGCCTGGACGCGGGAGGGGGCGGAACAGGTCTCGTGCGATGCACGGAGCGGGGACGCAAACATGCGGCACAGCAGGCGCACTGGCAACACAGGCGCACTGGTTGCCTGCGGCGTGGCCATAGGCATACCCATACATGCGGTGTTCTGATACAGCGTGAGCATGGATTCTACCAGAAAAACATGTTTCTGTCGGGCTCGTTTGAGAATTTGAGGGCGGCCGCCCGCTGGTTGGGGATCTGCGCTCGCGACCGACCGAAACAGAGGGGACGCAGCGCATGTGCGTGTGGGGACATGGTTCCGCAATGCTGGAGGCGCACGAGACGCTTCGAGATGGCGGCCACTTCCAGCAAAACACTGGCGCCTGTGGCTGCGATGTGGCATTGGTGCCCGAGCATGCATCCGCGGCTGCTGGTCGGCGCGGGGGTCCGCTTACCTGTGCAAACGTGGCCTCCTCAGGGAACAGGATCGCGTCATCCTCCGCATCCTGCTTGACAACGCCTTCATCACTGCGCTCCGCCCACATCAGATGCACCAGGCCGTCCTCCGTCTGCGGGGGCCAGGGGGCGACACCGCAGCGTCACATGCAGCGCCAGCAGCGAACCGTGTGCCGTTGGCTCATTGACGGCAGCAAGCGCATGAGCTTTCACCGGGCCGCAGATCTGGCGAGCTCACCCTCACGATGCGGATCATTCCTTTGCGCGTGTCGGGCTTGAGCGTCTTGCCCTCCCGAAGCAGCTTGCCGAAGCGCCCCTCGCATATGAGCCTGGCGCCCGCAGGCAACATTCTTATTGCGTTGATTTGATTCTTAAAATGCGTTTTTGCTTGCCGTTTGCGAGCTGGGCCCCAGATCTACGCCCACGACACCTTGTTGTCACGAGAGTTGCAGGACACAAGCGAGCAGCTCAAGATGTTTGTACTTAGAAACATAACTGTGAGCAATGCCCTCACCCAACGACTGAAGGGCTTTGCATGGCTCCACAATCCGCGCCTGTCTGCACGGGTGCTGCCAGTGGTGACACCGGTATTCAGGACGCATTTGCCTGCTGGATCTGTGAGCAGCTGTCAGATTCAAAGGATGTTTCATAGGGGTATTTGCAAGGAAATTGAATCGCAGGGAGGTGAGTATAAGTACACCATGCCAACCACACCTCAGCCAGGCACCATGGGTGCTGTACCAACCCAATGGCAGCGTGACCAGCAGCCGTGGTAGGTACGCTCTGCACGGTGCAGTGCAGCATGGCCGCATTCATCAATGGCGCGGCTGTCCGTGCATCCGCGCCGTGCGCAGCAATCAGGTCAGGGGTGCCGGCTTGCTTTGGCAGCAGGGACATGGACGTCACCCAAATCAGGCGGCGTGGAGCAACTCCGCTTGCCCATTTGACAAGAGCCGCACAAGTAAAAAAAGGGGCGGTGGGGGCGACGGCGCGCGCGGGTGTGAGCGTGAATTCGCTAGGCGCGGCGCTTGCACGTGCTACAGGCGGGCGGGCATCACGCAGCCAGGCCGGGGGTGCTATGGAGGACCAGGCAAGATACGACGTTGCATCAGCCCCTGTAGCCCGTTAGGACTGGAGGTAGCCTGTTTATCACGACCGTCGAAGCATACGAGCACGGCCTCGCAAGTGCAACACATGCCATCCCTGGGCTGGGTCCACAGCCCGTGCCCGTGCCGAGCGCGCGCAAAAGCGGGGCAGCAGGGGGCCAGACCAGTGAGCTGAGACGCATGCGGGCTCTTTGAAGACAGCGTTATGTGCAATGGTGGACACGCTGTCGCACGCAGTGCGCCGCAACGCTCAGCACACCACGCCTAGTTGAGTGGCATGCGCGAAAGGCCGCAGCCGAGGACTAGCAAGACTCCCAAAGCGCAGGCGCTGAAGGCGTGCCCGCGAGTCGCCACCCACCCGCTCAGAAAAGCGCCGCGATCGCGCGCCCCAGAGGCGCAGGCAGCCTGTCCCAGACCGCGTAGAACGCCAGCATGAACCGCCCCCGCGGCCCGTCCTTGGCGCGCCGCACCGCGCCGAATACCTCCCAGTCTGCCGCGCCCGGCGGAAGGCCGACGGCCGCACGGATCTCGGGGTCGTGGGGCCGCAGGAAGGGGTTGACCGCCAGCTCGTCGCCCAGCAGGCTGGGCAGGGTGGGCTCGCCCTGGGATGTAGTAGATGTATAGGCGGCGGTGCGATGCGCCCCGAGGCGAGCGAGCAGAGGGTGGGCGTGCGCTCGGCGGGGCAAGCGGGGGCGTTTGGGGTTCGCAGCGCGCTGCGCTCTCTTTGCTAGTTGCAGCGCGGCAGTGATTGCTCGGCGCGATGGCGGGTATATGCGACGCTGCTGCCCAAGGAAGGTGGGGGATGCTGGGGGTGTTTGGCAGTTGCTTTTGTGGTGGACAAGTGCGGCTGTGATGCGCGTGGGGCGCGCGCACCCTGGCGCGGGCCTCCTCCACGCGTGCCTTGCGTTCCAATAGCGCGGTGTTGGCGGGGTTGATCCCCGCCGCAAAGTTTGCGTTTGACGCGGTGTACTCGTGGGCGCAGTACACCTGAGGAACGGCAGCACAAAGAAACCTTTAGCGCGTTGTTGGCAGCGATGCACAAGGCAGACCAGCAGGATTGATAATGACAACACAGGAGCAAACAATAGATCGCAACAGACATTCACGTCGATGGGGTGCGGCATGCAATGCAGCTGGCACAGCAGAGATGTGCCCGCAGCGGCTTTCCGCAGCAAAAGCGAGGGGTTGCCGGCTGGTCTCACCCTGGTCTCCTTTGGCAGTGATGCCAGCTTTGACAGGGAGCCCCACATGGTCTTTGGGTCGCCCTCAAACAGCATGCCACAGCCAATAGAGAAGAGTGTGTCGCCTGCAGACGGCATGTGAATTTGGAAGGTCGTGTCAAGTTTATGGTGGTGCTTTTAGCTGCTGGTGGGTTGCTTGGCTGGTTGATTGGTGGGTGGGTTGGTAAGTGGGTTGACGGGTTGGTTGGTGAACCAGTTGGTTGTGCGCGAGGGGTTCATAGATGAGCCGAAGGGGTGAGATGAATGGCAATCCCAAGTGCAGTAGGTCGAGTGAGGGCAACCAGCGCAGCTGATGTATGCGCGCAAGCAGTGCGGCTCGCGGCAGCAGGGCAGCCCCAAGGTGCTGACCTTGCGCAGGCGCATCCGGCACGCGGCTGGCAGGGGCGCGCCGCAGGTGGTGCCGGATGCCCTGCCAGCCGCGTGGCCCTCACCAGGGAACAGCGCCTCCGCCCGAGGGAACCACAGGGCAATGTGGCCGCGCGTGTGGCCAGGCGTGTCAAACACACGCATCTCGAGGCCGCCAAACTGCCACGCGTCGCCGTCCCCCAGCTGGACGTCGATCCCGGGGATGCGGCGGTGGTCCGCCCTGGGGCCGACGACCTGGCGCGGGTGCGGTAAGGGGCAGGGGTGGCCCGCATGACAGGCGTCGCAGGCCGAGCAGGGGGGGACCGCGGCAGCCGGCGGAGCGGCCGGAGGAAGGAGTAGGGTGGGTTGGGCGGGCTTGTTTGCACTGGACAAGGGCGTGGATCCAGCAGGCGCCGCTGCATGGTGAGAATCTGCCGCGTGGCAAGTACGGTTCGAACCCAGGCGCAGTCCGGGGGCGACACACCGTCGTGCAGGCAGGCGCCACGAGGCTGGAGCCCTCACCTTGAGGCCTGGAAACGCCTTTTTGAGGTCGAGGTTCCCGCTGGTGTGGTCGAGGTGGTGGTGCGTGTTCAAAATATAATGCAGCTCGCCCCAGCCCCTGCCGCAAGGGGCGCGGCCGTGGGCGCGCCACAGGCGTTTCTGGCGGCGGCAGTAGGAGTGGCCAGCCGCGCCGCCCCGTCCCACCAACCACAAGGCGCGCATGCGGGAGAGCTAGCACAACCGCATCGCAAGTCATAGCAGGTTCAGAAATCAAATGGGAAGCATTGACAAGCACCCAGGCCGGCCGCGTTGCACCCACCGCTTTTCCAACTCTGCAATTACAGGGGGTGCCAGTGCAGGGTCAACCGCCGCGGTGCGGCCGCTGGCCGGCTCCCGCAGCAGCCAGATGTAGTTGTCAGACAGCACTGGGATGATGGCGACATCGAGCGTGCCGAGTGGTGGCGGCGCCGCTGCCATGCGTGCTGACACCGCGGCACGCCGAAAGCCAACGCGGCGGCACGCGCAGCGAGAGCGCCTCGCTACCGGGAGCTCATGCGGCAGCGAGCCGCGGCAGGGGATCGGGGCTATGATGACTTGCTTGTGATGACAAGAGAAGCACACGAACCTTCAATTGCATGACACAATTGAACACGACAGTTGGGAACTGCAGTACGGTGACAGCATCGAGATCTGCAAGCACAGTTACGTTATATCAGGGTATCAACTCTCAGGCGAAGCCCGACCAACTAGGACTGCGCGGAGTGAACAGATACAGCTCCACAGCACCGCGCCTCATCATCGGCAGTGGGAGGACGCTTTCACCGACAGTCACGACGAGCGTGCGGCGTCGCTCGGACCTGCCCCGAAGAAAAGAACGGTTCAGTCGCCCTCACCGCAAAGCCCGGCCCCATGCCACCGCCAAGCGTACGGCGGTCCCTGGTTTTCCTTCTGACCGGCCTCGCGCTCGTCGCGAGCGCGGCGGCGGCCGCGCCGCCGCTGCTCAGGCGGGCGTCCATTGCGGACGCGTCCACATCCGCCGCCGCCGCCGCCGCCGCCGCCGCCGCCGCCACCCGGGCGAGCGACTCGGAAACCAACGGCCTTCAGCTCTGCCTCGAGTTTCTGACCAAGCACATGCCCGCCAGGGACAAGCCCCTCATCTCGGACCACGAGCTGGTGGCGACCGCGGCGCTTGCGCTGCGCGCGCGCCGCGGCGCAGCGTGGGCGAGGGCGGTGCCCCTGAAGATATTTTTGAACGACGTACTGCCGTACCGCCACCTGGACGAGCCCTATCAGCCGTGGAGGAAGCTGTTTTTTCAGAAGCTCGCGCCGCTCGTCGCCGGCGCGAGCAGCATCACAGAGGCCGCGCAGGTGCGTGCAGGCCGGCGCGCGCA